TTTTTTCGCGTCTGGTTGTTATTAGAACGGATATGAACGGACGCGTTTGAACGAAAAAAAATTTATTTATTTTTTTCGTTTTGTTTCTCTTTTGGATTTTTTGTTTTTTTTTTTTATTTTATTTTTGTTATGTTGGCATTCAAAAAGAAATAAAAAAAAATGGTAGTAAAATGAATCAGAGTCGTCGTGGTATAGAGTATATTATATAGGGAGCAGGAGGAGAAGGAGCGAACCTATTGATGACTATTTAACATTTGGAAATACTATTTTATTATTATTATCAATATACACAGTAACAAGGTTAATGGATTCATTATGAAACCAAACGCGCCAGATACTACCAACTGTTTAAAAAAAAAAAAAAAATAGGAAAGAAAGAAAGAATTCATTAATAAAAAAAAAAAAAATTTTTTTTTTTTTTTATTGCGTTATTTTATGGCATACGTGTACGTTGTTGTTTTTTTTTTTAATGAAGAAAATAAACGATTATTATTATTATTATTGTTTGTACGTGTTTTAATATTATTATTATTAATTGCCATCGTCTGGTTTTTGTCATAAAAAAAAAAAAAACAAAAAAAAAGTTTTTCGGAAAATATTTAAACTTATTAATTACGTTAAGATGAAATGAAAATCAATGTCAAATCAATTTTTACTCCTTTTCCCCCTCCCTATCTCTCCTCTTCTTTCCTTCCTGTGACCCCTTTGACCTTTCTCTCTCTCTCTTTCTCTCTCTCTTTCCTCTCCGATAATTGTTTTGCGGAAGTTTTTGTTTTTGTAACGGTTCGTAATTTGTTATTTTGCATTTAAAATGAATATAATGAAAAAAAAAAAAAAAATTTTTTTTTTTTTTTTTTTTGTTAAACGAATTTGCTGTAGTTTGTAATTAAATTTTTTTTTTTTGCTGCGGGTCAATTTTTTGCGGAACTTTAAGTCTCGTGATAAAAATAAGCGAAAATTTTTTTAATGAAATATTTTATATGTAAAAAATTTATACGATCCGAGATCGAATGTTTCGACGTGTAAATAGATGAATTTTTTTTGTGCGTGTGAGTTTTGTTTGTTTTTTAATTCCGAAGTGTTTTGCCAAAAAAAAAAAAAAAGAAAAAATCTCGTGATTATTATTATTATTATTATTATTATTGTTATGGAAAACGTTTCATTGCCAAAATTAATTAAAATTTTATTATTATTATTATTGTTGTTGTTGTTGTTTTTAAACATAACGGAATTTTTTTTTTCTTTTAAATTTTTAAAAATATTTTTTCTGTTTTTTTTTTCTTTCTTTTTTTTTTTTTTTTAAGTCGCGAAAAATGAAAAACAAAATTTTTTTTTTTTATCATTCCTTATCGACGTGTCACGTGACATTACCACAACCGCCATCCTACTGGAATTTTCTGGAACGATTATGAGAAATTTGCTTTTTTTTTGCACACACTCGCGAAAAACGATTTTGGTGGTTTTATCGAAAATGATTTTTTTTTTTACTTATAAAAAGAAAATCGGATTTTATAAACGAACGTGTCATTAACTGTAAATTTAATGAGAGTGAGAGAGAGGGGGGGGAGGAGGGGAGACGAAAGAAAGAAAAGCAAAAAAGAAAAAAATTAAAAAATTAAAATTTCGTCAAACGTCACCAACATTTATTATTTACAATAATTAAAATATGGTTCTCTAATGTCGTTGTTGTTGTTTTTGTTGTCGAGAGAGAGATATAACATAAAAAGTCAATTAATCAATAATTTATTTATTTATTTGTGTATAAGAAACGTTCAGGAATGCCAACAGTAAAAAAAAAAAAAAAGAAAAAAAATGATTCGAACGCATTCGTTTTGGATTAAGTTAAAAATGACGTCGCGAAAAGTTTTTTTTTTTTTTTTTTCTTTTTTCACGCTTTCCATTTTTTTAGAGGTCAAAAGAAAGAAAAAAAAGAACATAATAAATATGTTATGCGGAAGTTACGAAATTAAAAATAATAATAATAATAATAATAATAATAATAATAATGATAATAATAATAATAATAATAATAAATTATTAAAAACATTTTTTTTTTGTGTGTGTGTACGAAGTGAAAGAAGGAAAATGTAAACGTTTTTTTTTTTTTTTTTTTTTTTTTTTTTGGGCGTTGGTGCAAATGGTTTTTAAATTTTGTTATGAAAACTCGTCGTCGTCGTCGTCATCAGCAGCAACCTCTGTCGGGGAAAATCGGAAAATTTTTTAACGTTTATTTTTTTTTATTTTACGGAAAATTTCCGGTAGATGTCGGGATCGGACTTTTTTTTGTTCTTCCCAAACGAACTAAAGGAAAATTTTAGATGGAAAATTTTTTTTTTCTTTTTCTTTTTTTTTTCGTTTCCTGTTTTTATATTATTTTTCGCATTATTATTATTATTATTTTTTTCCTCCTTCAACTTGTTTGTCGTATTGAGTTTGTTTAATTTGAGAGACGAATTTTTTTTTTTTTTTTTTTTAAATTTTGGGTTAATAATTGAATGAAATCGATTTTAGGTTCAAAGTGTTAGACAAAGAGAGAGTGAGTGACAGAGTGCATGAGAGAGAGAGGGAGGGAAATATTTGAAATTTGTTTAGTAAAAGGACCCGCCCGTATTTTTTTTTTTTTCTTTTATTTTCTTTTCCTCTTTTTGTTGTTCTTGTCTCTGTTACTCTTTATGAATTTCCGTGACTCTCTCTTTCTCTCTCTTTTCTTTTTACGTCATTTCTGTCGTTTCTTTTCAATCAAAAAAAAAAAAAAAAAAAAAAAAAAAAAAAACATGGCGTCGTTTGTTGATGACTATACGTTACATAAAAAAAAAAAAAAAACATTAGAAATTTTATTAATTAAATGGTTGAATTCAATAAAATTAAAATAAATTATTTTTTTTTTTTTTTGGGTCGTGTCATTAGATAAATAATAAAAATAAATAATAATAATAATAAATCTTAATTGTGTATTTGTTTCGTTTGTGTTTGTTTGCGTGTTGTTTTTTTTTTTTTTTTGTGTTTTTTCGATTTTTTTATTCGAGATGAAATAAAAGGCGGAAAATAAATTTTTTATCTCTTGATATATATATAATAATAATAATAATGGTATCAAATATTTATTATTATTATTATTATTATTTTTCTTCTGCTTGAATTGTATCGAAATCGTAAAACGTTAACAACAACAATCGTTGCCAAAAAAAAAAAATGTTTGTGAAATTTGTGAGCGAGAGTTTTTATCATTTTTTTTTTTTTTTTACGGCGAATTAATTTTCATTCGAGATTTTTCCATGTGTTTTTTATCTCTATGTTTTAAAAAAATAAAATAAGGCCGCCCCTCCTCCCCTCCCTTACTCTCCCCCCATCTGCGCGGAAAAATCTCTCAACCGTGAATCCGAACCTTTTTTTTTTCGTATTCATCAAAAAAAAATAAATAAAAAAGTGGAAAATTATGTATATATACATACATACAAGAAGTTTAAATTTTCATTTTTTTTTTTTTGAGTTAGGTTTTAGGTTTAAAGGAGGGGGGAGAAGGGAAGGGAAGGGGAGAGAGAGAGAAAAAGGCGGGAAAATTTAAAAAAAAAAATCAAAAGAAAAAGAGTAATCTATCATTTCTATATTTTTTTTTTTTATTTTCTCCCTTTAAAAATTTATAATTTTTTTTTTTTTTTTTTAATGAAAAACGTTTTAAATTGAACGTAAAAAGAAAATGAAGAAGCAGAAGAAGAAGCAGAAGTAAAAGATGGAAAAGCAGAAGACGTAAAAATAAAAAAAATTTAAATTAAATTAAATTATTTTTACCGTGAAAGATTTTTTTCTGTTATAGCATAAAGGAAAAGAAAAAAAAGAAAAAAAAATTTTTTTTATTTACCTTGAAAATGTTTTTATTTTTATTCCGTTTGTTTGTTTGTTTGTTTGTTTGTTATTATATAAATACTCGCGAACGATTTAATTTTTTTTTTTTTTAGGATTTATTCGTTTGAATAATAGTTAAAAAAAAAGGAAAAAAAAAATTGTTGTCGCGTTTGATGTTTTCGTTTCTTCTGCTTTTTTACCTTTCCTTTAAATTTTGAAATGGAAGAAAAAAAATGATGATGATGATGATGATGATGATGATGATGATGATGATGATGATGATGATGATGATATGATGATGATGATGATGATGATAATAACGATAGATGAACGTCATTATTTACTTGGAAATTTATTATTGTATCGTGCGTTAGCTCAAATTGAAATTTCAATTTATTTATTTATTTATATATCATTTCAATGTATTATTATTTTACTATTAGAAGACCAGACGTAAAAAAAAAAAACAAAAATTAATCGATAAAAGAGCATCGTCGTGTTTGTTCTTCTGCTTCTGCTGCTGCTGTTGTTGTTGTTGTTTTCATTTTGTTTATTCGTAAACCCGAATTTGTTTTGGTTTTTTTTGTCTTGTTTTGTTTTGTATACTGTTTCAACTTGTTAGTTTAATTAAATTGAATTGATTTAAATTCACGGTTAAATTCTTCATCGTCGTCGTCTTCGTTTGTTTTTATATAAATTAATAGAAACAAACGTTGAATTGTTATTTAAAAAAAAAAATAATAATAATGGGATTCGTCGTAAAATGTTTTTAATAAGTATTTTAATTAACAATATAGCGAATAATTTTTTATTATAATGGAAATTTTTAGAAATTTATTATCATCATCATTATGATTATTTCATTTCATTTTTTTAAAATTTGGTTTACGCTCCTGATTTTATATTTTGAGTGAAACGCACATAACGACCATGATGAAATTTCACAAAAATGATTTTTTTTTTTTTTACAAGGGGGTTTTTAAAAATTTAAATTTTTTTATTTTGATAGAAAAACGCGCGCGTAAAATTATGTTATTGACGAAAAAGAGAAAAACATTAAGAGAAAAAAAACAGTGAAAGTGTTAACGCGGCGTAAAAGTTTTTAAAAATGTAAAGAAGAAAAACGTTTAGGAAAAGTCAGGAGAAGTAGTTGGAAAATGGATGACGAAATACAGGAAACGGTCGAGTCGATACTCGGTAAAGGAGTCAAAGTCGTGGATTGCGAAAAAAAATCGAGCATAAGAGAAGAAGAAGTCTTACTGATAAACGGTTGTCCGATACCGCTCGAGGGAGAAGATGGTGCAGCCATACGCGATGCTTTGATACACGGAAACGTACCCAATTGCGATTTGCTTAATCAAATACTGATAAGAGCGGGAATATTGAAATCACCCGTTCGATTGGAAACGAGTTTAAGCGTTAAATCATCGGTCGTGACGAGGGAAGAAGTCACGGTCGCCAAAGGTGGTCAAATAGTGGACGAAAGAACGCGGGAAACCAAAGAGGACAATTATTACACGAGTAGCACGTCGGAAGTATGGGAACCCGTCGGCTACGAACCGTTGCCCCACAATAAAAAACGTGGGGGAATCAAAATAATCGAAGGGGGAGGGTATCCGAAATCGGGTTCGAATTCTTCGACGTGCAAAAGTTCGTGTTCGTCATCGTGTTCGTCGTCGTCGTGTAATCAAACTCAACCTTCCACGTCTACGGACTCTGCTTTTTTCCCATCGGACACTCATCAACATTCCTCGTCCGGAAATTACGGGAATTCGTCGAACGTTCGAATGCCGCCGAATCGAACGTCTTCCTCCACGTCGGCGGATTCGGCAAATTCATTTTCGGATTTTCTTCCGACTCACGTCAACGCGTCGTCGTCACCGTTTATTCCAAACTGCACGAGAAATCCAAACATTCCGAATATGAATGATTCCAACGGTAGAAAAACGTCGTCGTCATCGACGTCGACGACGACGAAAACGGTTTTAGACTCTTACGGTAACGAAATAACGAAAAATCACACGACGGTAGAAAAATGTCGAAACGATCATCATTTTAATTATAATGATAATAATAATTCGCGTAAACAAAATGGCGGTGAACGTACAAACGTCGGATGTCCGAATCACGAAATGGTCAATGGATTTACAAAGATTCGTCTGGATGATTTTTCATCCGGTGCCGAGAAAAACGTAAGAAAACACAAAAATAATAATTTTTAATTTTTTAATTTTTTTTTTTTTTTTTTTTAAATGTTAAGAGAGACGAATCCAATATGGCGCAGTTGGTTGGGGGGAGGGTGGGAAAAGCGAAAAGAAAAAAAAATGTCCAGCAAATGTGTCAAACATGAATAAATGTATGAGAAGAATCGGTTTGGATTTGTTAATATCGTAAGGAAATGTGGCGGCGGTGGCGGTAGCGGGGGTATTTTTTGGTTTCCCACTTTATTGTCTTTCCTTCGAACGGGGAAGATGAGAGGGAGGGGGCGGAGGAAGAGGGGGAAGTCGAAGAACAACCGAACGCCAAAAAAAAAAAAAAAAAACGAATAATTTTAACTTTTTTTTTTTTTTTTTTTTTTTTTCAAACTCTTTGAGTGAAAGGGGGGGAAGGGAGGGAGGTTGGGATCCCATTGAAAAATCCCACCCCGATTGCCCTACATTAACTTTTTCCATTTATCATCGACTCTTAGTAAATAAATTTCAATTTTTTTTTTTTTTTTTTTTTTCGTTTGTTTGTTTGTTTTTGCGGTCGGTTTTAATCTTATTTGTTTCCATTAAATTTTATTTTATGGGATAAAAAAGGGGACGTAAATTTTTGTATAAAAAAAATGATATCTCGTAAATTTAACCACCCTTAGCTCCACCCCTACCACCCACCCCCCACTCTAACTCCAATCCGCCCCGCGGCGGCGACTAAAATCGATATCAATCAATGAGCCAATTAATAATAATAATAATAATAACTTTTCGATTGTTCATGAGGGCGAACAAAAAAAAAAATTGTTTTAAACAATGGGGTTGAAATTTTATTCTGGCAAAAAACGCCGCGTAAAAAAACAAAAAATTTTTTTAAATACGAAATTCTCTTTCTCTTTCTATCTCTTTTTCTTTTTCTCTCTCTTCAGTACGCGCGCGTTTAATTTAATAATTTATTATTATTATTACGAAAATAAATAATCGAATCGATTATTTAAATTTATTTATTTAATAATGCCGAGACCCTCCTCCCTCTCCCTCCCCTAAATTTTCGTTTGCCTGTTTTTTTATTTGTTTATTTATCTATTATTATTATTATTATTATTGTTATTAATATTATTATTGTCATTATTACTATTATTATTATTATTATTATTGTTATTATTATTATTGAGCGGTCAAAAAAGTTATTCGTTCGACTGTAAAAAAAATTTTCATTCGTTAAATTGTTATTTGTCGTCTTAGGTTTTCATATTGTTTTTAAAACGATTGTTTTCTATTGTTGTTCGTTTCGTTTGTTTGTTTTACGATTTTGTGTTGAACTGTGTGCGGAAATGCGAGAGAAAGAGAGAGAGAAAAGATGAAGGAAGGATTACGCGTGGTTTTGAAGTTTTAAGGTTTTTTTTGTTTTGTTTTTTTTTTTTTTTTTAGGTTGTTTGTTGTTTGTTGTGTCGGTCTTTTCATTCGAGTTTACGTTAAAACTTTATATATTGCAAAATAAATAAATTGTTGTTAAGTTTTGTGTTAATTGTAAAATGTTTTTTTTTTTCGACTTTATATAAATTAATTTTATATTATTTTGTAAAAAAAAAAATGTGGGGAGAGGGAGAGAGAGAGGGAGGGAGGGGCAAAAAGAGGAAAATAAAATTAAGAAAAAGATGAAGAGAAGGAGGGAAAAGGGAGGGGGGAGATAAAGTTTTTAGAGCGAAAAAATTTTTATTTTTTTTAATAGCTTTTAAGGAAAAAATTTTGTTTTTTTTTTTTTCGCAATTTCTGAACCTTGTAAAAATAAGGGGGAAGAAGAGGAGGAGGATAAGAAGGAGGAGGAAAAAAAAAGGAAAATCTCAGAGTTTTTTTTTCTTTTCGATCCTTTTCTTTCATCAATGTAGAAAAAATTGAAAAAAAATTGTAAATGTTTATTGAAAGATGCAGATGTGAACGTTAAATTGTATATTGAAAATGAAATGAAAAAAAAAAGGAAGGAAAAGGAAAAAAGGAAGGAAGAAAAAGGAAAAAAAAGGGAAGAAATGTGATTGTGATACGTTGAATTTTTATAAATTTCCCCCTCTTTTCCCGTTTCCCCTCTCCCCTAAAATCTACATCCCATTTTTTTTTTCTTTCTCTTTTATGATTATTATTATTATTATTATTATTTGAAACGGAAAAAGAGAGAGAAAGAGAGATTGGGATTATGAAAATGGGTGAAAATTGTTACATGGAAATTTTTTTTTTTTTTGTATTGCATTTATTATTATTATTATTAATTTTTTCGTCGCAAATTTTCTTTAGAAAGAAAAAAAAAATCAATGCTTCTTGGAAAATTTTCAACAGCGGTTTTGAAAGTTTTTCCTTTTCCCATTTTCCTATTCGGTTCTGAGGGTAAAAAGATGATGAGATACGGTTTATAAAATGTTTAAATAATTTTATCGTCAAAGACAATTAGAATTATTTATTAATTAAACGTTATATTAAAAGTTTTTCAATTCGTAAAATTTTGACGAGTGAAAATTTTCTTTGTTACATCGATTACGCGTGTGCGTATGCGTGATTAATTTCTGATTTCTCTCTATCTTCCCCCCCCTTCCCCCCTCTCTCTCTTTCTATGTTTTTCCCTGACGTTGAATTTCCGACGACGATTCGCGAGAGAAAAACAAAAAAAAAAAAAAAAAAAAACCAAGTACAATTTATCATTATTATTATTACTTTTGTTCCTCCTGCTTCTCCTGCTCCTGTTGCTGTTCCTGCTGTTGTCGTTGTTCGTCTGTTTTTCGTCGGGATCCGCGTAAAGTTTTGATTTTCGAATATCTCATCGATCCCTCAAGGGAATGATGAACGATGATGAAACGTGCGTAACGTTTTTCGCCTCCGAGGCAATTTCTCAAATTTATTAACATTATTATCATTATTATTATTTTTGATATAATCATACTCATCATCATCATCATCATCATCATCATTTTTATTATTATTATTATTAATTAAAACTCTCGTAAAATTTAATTTAATTTTTTTTTATATATAATGCATTTGCGACTGCGAAAATTTTTTTTATTTTTATTATTATTATTTTATTTTTAATTTCTTCATTTCCGGTTTTGAATTAAAACTTTTTTAATTTAATAACCTAAAGCGGCGTCGTTTATATTATTATTATTATTATTATCATTATCATTATCATTATTAATATTATTATTACCGTTTACGCTTTTGATTAATTCTGTAAGAAAAAACAAACAAAATCTTTTGTTCGTTTTAATTTTTATTTAAATTATTGTTTTTAAAAATTTGACGGAGAAAAATTTTTTTAATAAATAAACTGTTGTGAGAGAGAAGGGGAAGGGGAAAGGAAAGAGAGGGCAAGGGGGAAAAGAGATTTTAAAAGGATAAAATGGAAACGCGTAAAAGGAAATCTTTTTTTTTTTTTTTTCTCGAGCTGATATGAATAAAGTGAAAATGTAAAGTAACGGATCAGAGATCTTTAAAAGAGAGAGAAAGTGAAAGAGAGTGAGAGAGAGAGAGTAAAAAACTCTGGAAAAATAAAAATATAACCGGAAGAAAGGTCAGTCAGTCAGTCAGGGAGTGAGTGAGTGAATGAGTGAATGAAATCCGAACAAAATGTAAATTTAAAAACAAACTTTTTTTTTCCTCCCTTCCTTTTTTTTTGCCTCCCCTCCTTTCCCGAAGGGAGAAAGAGAAAGAGAAAGGAGAGAAAGTGAAATCGAATATGGAAATTCCGTTGGAGGATGGGGGGGGGGAAATCCTGGAAAACAAGGACGGGATTCTTCCTGGACAACAAACGCTCGGTTTTCTTTCTTTTATAAATTAATATTTCCGGTTTGTTTGTCGTCCTGTGGTCTCCTCCCCTTTTTTCCCTTCAGTTTCTAGGAAAATTTCTTACTGTTTAAATTCGTCTGAACATTTTATTGTTCTTATGTTTTTTTTTGGGGGGGAGGGGAGGGGAGTAAATGAAAACAATTATTATTATTATTAATACGTTTGTTGTTGCTGTTATATTTTCCTATTATTATTATTATTATTATTTGCCGTAAGTTAAAATTGTGTGTTTTGTTGATTCTTTTCATTTAATTTTCTCGCATTTCGCGTTATTGTTTTCGTTATTATTATTATTATTATTATTATGACGTTTTTTTTGGGGGAGATGGGGGGTGTGCGTGTGTGCGTAAAATTTACAGATTTTATTGGGGGGATGTTGTTATATTTGGTAAAAAAAAAAAAAAACTTTAAAAAATTCGAATCGAAAGAAACCGACGGAAACGGGGAGGGATGAAAAAAAAGTTTATTTTTCGTTCGTTTCCGTTTTTCTTGGGGGGATGGGAGGAGAGAGGAGGAAAGAGGAAAAAGATAGACCGAACGGAATTTAAATTTAAGATTTGAAAGGTTTTTTTTTTTTTTTAAATTTTTTTATGAAAATTATTATTTTATGATGAAAGAAAACGTGAAACGTTTCCGGTTTTTTTTTTTAAAAATATTTTTCCAGTACGTTTTGCTAATGCTGATTTTTATTTTACGAAAGGTTATAAATTTTTTTTTTTTTTTTAAAAACAATTCCCCCCCTCTCCTGTTTTCTTCCCAGGGAAAAAAATTTTCTTAAGTAATAAATTCGATTATATAAATTTTCAACATCGATTCGAAAATTCCCCCCCCCCCAAAAAAAAAAAAAAACTTGTTATTTTTCCCCGGTACTTTTAATTTGGCAAACGAAAATTTTTTTAAAGTTATAAATTTGTGGGGGAAAAAAAAAGAAAAAGAAAGAAAAAGGTCGCGATGAAGGGGGTAAGGGAAAAATAGTGGGTATAAGAAAATAATAATGGGAGAAGGAGGAGGGGAGGGAGAAAAGGAAAGAAGGTTAAAGGAGAAAATTTTTTGGGGTAAAAGGTAAATTATTACTGGCTTTTGAATTTTATTAAAAAAAAAAAAAAAAAACTTTTTCCGGAAAATTTAATTTCATCTATTTCCTCCTCCCCTCTCTCTTTCCCCTACTTCCCCTCCGTTCGATGAAATGTTTAAAATTATTATTATTACTATTTTTGTTTTATTAATTGTTCGATAAATGACTACTTCCGGGGTTTTTTTGCCCTCACGATTGAGTAAATGGAGAGAATCAAATGTAAAAAATGGTGTTCGATTATTTTGTATAAAAAGTGGAGAAGTGCGGGAGTGGGCTTGATCAAACGACTA